TTTAAACTACCAGTTTCCAGACTAAAGATTGAAGGACTTATTTAAATTATCATTTTGATATTGGCCTTGCAATATTCGAACCCATTTATATTAATTATTCAAACTTTGAGTTGTGATTAATAATTGGTCTGTGGAAAACACATTTCATGCCTACTGATAAATTCAAACTTGCTTGGTGATCCTTCTCTAATTATCTTCAAATGGTTCAAATGGTTGTGGACGGAATAGAAGAAGCTTCCGCTTAACAGGCTTCCATGTCTAGAAGCAGAGGATCACCAATATTTCCAGGCAAGAACCTAGGTATATTAACGATAAAAGAGAAAAAAAGAAATTGGTAAATCATAGTAAGGTACTATCCATAGTCCTTAAGAATAGATCAAGTCGCCTCTTAAAAGACTCCTGGGAAGGCGCTTGGACTAGCTCAGCTGGCAGCAAATTTCAGCATTTGACAACTCTTAAGGAGTAGAAGTTGTGTCTACAGTCCGTCTTGCTATGTTGTGTCTCCGATTTCTGGGTGTTACCCCTTAGGTTAGTATTAAAAGCAAGCTTAAGTAGGTGTTTAAGAGGATGTCCAGCTGTGTTAAGGATACTGCAAGCCATCAGAAGGTCACCTCTAAGACGTCTATACTCTAATGGGAAGAAGTTAATTGATTGGAGGCGCTCTTCATAAAATTTAAATTTGAGTCCCCGAACTGATTACGTGGTTAGACGTTGGATACGCTCCAGAGTGTCCTTATCCTTTTGGAGTGTAAAAGGGAATGCCATTTTTTAGTACTCTAAATGGGGACGAACGAAACTATTGAAGATTATGTAGAAAGTTCTCCCGTCAAACTGACCAAAAATGCGCTTCAATGTTACCAGTGCAAGATTTGCTCGAAAGGCATTTCTGTCACATTTGGCGTAAGACTTTAAGTCGTAGAGCACCAGAACTCCTTAATCTTTTGTAACTGTAATCTGCGACATGTCGCAGATGGACTAGGTTACACTTTGAAGTGTTAAAGGTAAGTCCGTTATCATCTGCCCAACTTTGAAGTCGAGTCAGATCCTCCTGAAGTGCCTGTATAATGTCTTAATTGCTTATCTCTCTCCAAAGTTTCACGTCATAGGCAAAGAGCAATATGTCTGAGGAAGATCATTTATATAAATCAGGAAGAGAAGAGGTCCCAGTACTGAGCTTTGAGGGACCCCACTAGGACATTCTATAGCCTGTGAGAAATTGAAGTTTACCCTGACCTTAAAATGTCGATTTGTCAGATATGTACTGAGCCATTCAATTATAGGTGGTTTGATACTCAATTGTTTGAGCTTGTTGATAAGAGAGATGTGGTTAAACCTATCAAAAGCTTTAGAGAAACCAAGGTAAATGATGTCCACCTTCCCCTTGCGATCAACGACGCTTGTCCATCTGTCCACCGCGGTCAGCAGGTTCGTCATACAGGAGTAACCCTTCCTGAAACCATGCTGCATGCGACCACATTTAGAATATGGAGTTGAAGCAGCGAGTCCTTGTTTTAAGTATGAAGCAGAAATGCTGGAAAGAGTCCAACGACGAGGTACTAGGATGGTACAAGGTCTATCTAGCCTATCTTATGAAGACAGACTGAGACACCTCAACGTATTTCCGTTATCTTATCGTAGAATATCGGATGATCTAATATTGGCTTATACTGAACGATGACCTTGGTATTAACTTCCGTTTAGGAATGATCATTTGAGAGGACATTCGAAAAATGTCTAAAAACCGAGATCAAGTCGTTTACGTCTGGAGTTTCGTTTCTCTCACCAAGTAATGAATTACTGGAATTCTCCACGGGAACACGTAATATCAACGCCTTCGTTGATATATTCAAAACGAGATTGGATCTCCACAGTATTACAAACTGCAAGGATTAATATAGGTCGACAGATCTCCTGTTCTTATTACTGAGGACTAAAAGGGGATTAAGGATGGAGCATGATCAAGCGCCAGACATGAGTACATAAAACAGTTGGAGATCTATGTAAACAAGTACCAATTTTGGAATAAAACGGTTACATTTAGAGACACTGTACTTCAAATTTGGGCACGGTAAAAGAAATCAAATCCTTTCAAAGTAGCCCGCCGTCTCCATCTTACATGACTGTCCTGCGTTTCATTTCAATACCTATAAATCAATAGTCTGTTTAGCTTAAATCGATAAGAAATGAACCATCGTCTTAAGAGTCATATGACACTACGGCTCCGAAATTCCTGGGAATCAGGAAGAATGGTACGGACCTTTCTCCAGTGTCATATTTCTCGATATTTTCGTAACGGGTGTGCACGTGGATGCAATTAACCTAACTGTTGGCCGTTAGACGGTTTGTCGGAAACGTATATCACTTTTCAAAATTCGGATTACTCATTATTTGTGTTAACTGAATTACTTTATGTATTGTGAACTTTCTTTGGACGACAGAACCTCTATTTTTTCATTGAAAAGTAGCCGATTGTATGTTTATTAACAGTTTATCCACTTGATACCATGTGGTTTCACCAACAAGTTTATCAGGTGTAGAATGTTGTTCTTCGTTGTGTAGGAAATAATTTTTTATTGATTACTTGTTTGCACTGATTGTAATAGGAAAAGTTGGAAAATATTATTTTCTATCCCGAAACAATTCAGGTACCTATGTGATTTATCAAGCATATACGTAAGGTAATATTCATGTAATATCACTCCTGTAAGCAAACTTGCATTTTTAGATTTACCAATGTTTAGTTGGTGCTTCATGGATTGTGTGACAAAGTTATTCAGAGAATTATAGGAACCTAAGAGTTATAAACTTAACATGTCCCAAGACTCATACAAATCCATTGCAAAACTACAGTACATCAAACGTATCAAGAGTAAGTTCTGGTCTCGATGTTCAGTAAACATTATGTGTCGATAAAAAATACACATTTAGTTTTGCTTTACACATCGGAACATTCTACTGACAACGACGTAGGTAATGCAATTTTCAGATGAAATCGAGCAAGTCTGTTCTTCTCAGTTGCATCCAGAACACTCTAGGGCAAGAAAGTTCTCTCATGAATAAAACAAACATAAAACTTGAAACAAAACTTAATAAATGTGAAACCTCAGTGTCAGTTCTTGTAGTAAACCTCTGCCGCGTTTGGATGAAAATACCACGGATTTTACGAATATTCAGCCTGTTACCACATCCAGATAATGGACGCAGTTTGAAGCGGTAATAAACTGTATCATTCAGACAACTCAAAGGACACTGGGCACAAAACAGTAAATTACATAATCACTGGACAGCAAAGCCCATAATGTTTGTACCATATACAAATTCAAAAATCTTGGCAACTGAGGTGCTAACGGCTTATCGATCCACAAACCGAACACAAAGCAGTGTTCTCCGCTACTGTAATATGAATAAAACTCATTACCAACCTTCTATATTAGGGTTTTATGGAGTCGAGAAGTACAGCAAGGACTCGGGTTGCAAATTAAGGACTGAAGGTTTGGGGTCAAAAATTCACCTATTCCAAAAACTGGTTACGACAGATGTGTCGAAAAGTAGTTAGGAAGAGTTGGTTTGGCAACGACGGTCTGTGATAACGAAGGTGTTCCGAAATTCGTCCTTTGCAGATAGATTATTAACACATATTTATTTTACATCTTAGTATACTACTACACAATGAGAAGTGCGAGTCAAAAACAACTACTTACGGAATTATGGCTGTCCAAGCAACTGAACGGAGTAAAGACGAATTTCCATGTCTTCCGAGCAGTGTTAGATTAGATAACCATTGATACATAGTGAAGAGAGAAGGGTTAACTGGAGTCAAAGTTTCGTGGTGCAATAAAATTTTATAGATAAATCACTCGAACATTTTGGTTGACTTGAAAATATTAAATCTAGGTCAGAATCGTTTAGTTTTGTTACATATGTTGAATCGTGGTCTACTATGATATTAATACTGCTCTAATAATAGACCTGATCCTAAAATTGTAGATTTGTTATGATATAACTGCCTAATCTATAAGATCTTACGTGGAAGTCACATCATCGTCTACACCAACTCACTGCATCGTAACAACTGCAAATACATGATGGAGGACAAGCTTAGGCTAGAGATATAATAATATATTTAATATGAATAAAAGATATAAAGTAACACTCATCAGGGACCACGCCTGAATGGTAGAGCCATGTCATCCGACCAAATTGAATTCATTCAATTCATTGTTCCCGCCTTCTCCATTGTTAGGTGTTCCTAAGCGTCAAATGTTGAATGTCTATTTTCTATATTATCTCGTGTTAGAGCCCAATGCCGCTACACATACTCCTAAACAAATGTTTGTAGCTAATGTGATCCATCTATTTGTGAGGCATATGGGAAGGTGCTCTATTTTGAAAAATATAATAAACTTGACGAGCGATTCCCGCTCTCAGTTTGAGTGCAAGTGACCTGGGCTATAGGCATCACACTGTGCATTCATTATTACAAATAGATGTGCAACGATATATAGGTGGGTAACTAATAGAAGTTGTTCTTAAACTGTGTGACTATTTGATTGTGCTACTGACACTCACGATTCTTATATGTGACCTTAATCTACTAAATGATTAGTTGCCTGAATTATTCCGGAGTACTTGTGCACGTGCACGGAACCCAACTATACTACTTCTTGTTTCGATTATTGGATTGTCTGAATTTCACGTTTGTGTTATTGCTACTTATTACTGAATACTTCGGCAATACACATAGACGACCTGCTTCTTTCTCCACTGTTCTTCCAGATTCTCCCATACAACTTAATACACACACTACAAGTAAAATATGTACTTGAAAGCATGACATATCGATAGCTTTGTTGACTCTTACCGAATTCTTAAAAGCCTTTTAATCACTATTGCGTCGCACAAAATATTATCAGCAATGTAAATTCATTGGTTTTTTAAGAACATAATAATTAGTAATATCTCTGAACTTGGCGGTTATAGTGAACCTAGAGGACACGTTTGATTTTTCCGGCGGCTATTTTGAGTGCTCTTCGAGGTGAGTCGTGATTGGTGTTTTGTCTCTTCACATTGTATGCGTTATATTAGTTATCGTTTTAAAAGTAATGCAAAATTCATGGCGTCCATTCATATCGCATTTTCCTCTGAATTTATTTGTTAAATTTTCACTGAGACAGCACTGCGAGTGCATTTTATCCTTATCTTTCCTACCATATATTCGTATATATTATGATTACCTCAGCTCTTGCTGTACGCTCGACTCTTACTAGAATTTATTTAAGTATGTGGTATGTTCTTAAGATCCTGGTTTGGCTTGTGGAGGGCAAAAACCATGGATTGCTTTACCTACCTAGTCTACACCTACTATCAGGTAGTTTTCCTATCCAAACAAGGTGGGGGCTTCCCCTCGTTTTTGGGTGCCTTGCAAGTTCGTGGTCGAAACCGAATGACGTGAACTCCGATTCAAATTTGTGTAGATAAGACAGAAGGTTGACGGCGTATGTAATTTCTTTCTACTATGCTCCTGTGAATATGGTCTTCTTTTGAACTAGTCAATTGGAGGTGCTGAAACCCCTTTTTCGGGTAACAGGTTCCAAATATTGATGACGGGGCAACAAGCTGTGTCACTGGTATCCTTTTTTGTTCTTCGCTTTTGTACTCGTCTGCTATGTCCTCTGAAATGTCCCAATCTACTGGGAATATAAAGAGGATATATTCGGTCCAAAATCACTTAGTATTATATATTCAGATCTTTCAATCTACGGTAGGACAGAGTAAAGAGGTCTAACTTTTCAAACCGCTCTTTGTATGGTAAACCCAGAATTCCTGTAATTGCACGGATTGCTACTTCTGTACTTTTTCCTGGAAGTACAAGTCACATTTTAAACAGCTTGCAGCCTGAACACAGTTTTCGAGCTTAGTTCTAAATACGGTTGTGTATACTGCAGTAAACATAGTAGTATCTAACTTGGTGAATGTTCATTCTAAAGCCTATGGGACCCTAGACCCGTTGTCCTAAGATCATGACTCAGTGTCACTGCAAGATCCGGTGAAACTCTATTCTATGGACGATCTTTGAACGCATGTTTAAGTGACCTTGAGAACATCAGTCAATCAGAAGAGAGTTAGAATAAAGTAAAAATATATTATAAAAAAACTGATGAATTACAATGGATATTCTTCTTTCACATGATTTAGGAACTTGTTAAGGTTTGATAAAGGTTCAGAAGTTTTGAAATAATAATGCATGCGGTATAGGAACTTGTCCATAAATTAGAGTCCTACCAATTATGGGAATTCCGGAACTCTCCTAATATGACTTAAGGATTTCCTGGTAGTGCTGCACCTAGAAACCAGTACATAGTACAATACCCCAAGGCTTTATCCTAGGTCCTTTATTTTTTATAGTGTGTGTAAATGAACATTCAAGTGCAGTTGAGTACTCAATGTTGCTATACGCTGATGAAAAAACCCGGCGAAAAATATTAGGAGACGCAGATGCACACACATTTCAGGCACTTAAATATTGTTATTAATTGGTCTAAAAAAGTGGCTGATGCCTATCAACGCGGCAAAGTGCGTCTGCATACACTTAGGGGGTACAAAGGTAAATAGGTACAGAACAAGAGAAGTGCCTGTACCGGTAGACCGGTCTCACAAGGATCTTGGGTACTCAACTGTACTTGAATGTTCATTTACATACACTATAAAAAATAAAGGACCTAGGATAAAGCCTTGGGGTATTGTACTAAGTACTGGTTTCTAGGTGCAGCACTACCAGGAAATCCTTAAGTCATATTAGGAGAGTTCCGGCAATCCCATGATTTTCCAACTTCCAGAGCAGTTTATTTGTTGGCACCTTACCAAATGCCTTACTGGAGTCTATGTAAACAACATCTACTGATTTTCTATTGTCTAGGGCCTCTATCCATTGCTCCCTTGCTATAAGGAGATTTGTTGTGCAAGATAAACCTTTCCTGAAACTGTATTGTTCGCTGTTTAACAAGTTGTTGATTTCCAAGAATGTCATTGTGGTCTTTTTGATTATTCTTTCCAGTATTTTAACCACGACACTGGTGAGTCTGACAGGTCTGTAGTTTAATGAAAGTTGTCTTGATCGTGTTTTATGTATTGAAGTGACGATTGCATCCTTCCAGTCCATAGGTGACTCGCCTTGACCAAGTGACATTGAATATTACAGTCAGTGGGGTTGCAATATATTGTGAAATTTGTCTTAGGATTTTGGGGTGTAGCTCACCTAGTCCTGTTAGCTTTTCCGTATCTTAAATACATCATCCCGATCGAAGTCCACAGTAAGCAGACGGTTTCTTGACTTTGTTTTTGTGCCTAGCTTGTCTAGAAGAGGCTCCTGATTAAAAACTGCATCGAAATAGTTTGCCATAGCATCTGCTTTTTCTTGATCATCCTTTGTCATTTCAGATCCACTCCTTTCCGTAATTAGGTTGGGAATTCAATGCTGCTTGATAACAATTTGGGCTAACTGCATCTCATACTTTCGCTGAGCTTCCCGGGTTGTAATTATACACCTATTTCGTACCGACCTGTAGCGTCCCATCGTACTTGCTGTGCCAAGGCTGATGGCAACGTTTCAAGATTTCTTCTTTTGTCTTAGTAAACGTCGAATATCCCGGCCTATCCAGGGATGACCGTGCTCCTTCTTCTTTGGGACTGTCCAGGGTATATATGGTTGAGTTACCTTATTGTATAACTACCTGAATGAGTCCATGCCTCTGAGTCAGTTATCCAGTTTTCACCCAGTGCCGCAGAGTTTATCGCCTCCATGTCTGCCTTCCATATGTTAGGATGGGCCGGCGCAATTAATTGACAGGCAATCTCGGCCATAAACTTGAATGCGACGACTGCATGATCGCTTCTCCCTAGAGGTGGGGAAAAATTCATTTGACCGACATCACCGTATGTGAAGACTAGGTCCAAGAGAGATGAGTCATATCTGACGGGATCTCTAATATGCTGGAATAAAACTGATGCAATTGTAGTTTCTATCAATTTGCAATCAAATGACGTTGTTGATGACCCTACTTCTAAGTTTACTCAGTTTATATACGGTGAATTAAAGTCGCCTACTATAAGGCTTTTATCCCTATTACACCAGGACTTAAGTTTGCTTAGGAGAAAGTCATCTACTACACATTCTGGACTGTGGTATACTACAACTAATTTAATATCTTGCTGTTTAGATTTCAGCCTTCAGCGCATCAGTTCACATATTCTTGAATCACGTATCACTATCTCGACAGCTCGTATAGTTAAGGTACTTTTCATGTACAGGATAACCCCACCTCCCCTACTGTTTAGTTTATCAGCCCTACTGGGTAAATAAACTAATCATTTGAGTTTCATTATTATTCACTCTGCTGTTAACCATGTTTCTGGGGTAACAATGACATCAGAATTTTCTATGTCCGTCATTGTCTTGAGCTCCGCCACTTTATTTTGTAGGCTGCGAGCATTTGTGTAGCACACCTTTAATTCTGTGGAGAATATTCCCTTACCACCTAGAGTGGTTTGAGGATCGTTTTGCTCCGAACTTTTGCAATTTGAAAACTCCTAAGTATAAGGATTTTTCAGCGACCGTCATTTATTTCTACTTCTGCCGATCATCTCTTAATACGATTAACCAGGCTGAGATCCTCACGGCCATATATTCCGGATCCAGTCAGTTTGCGTGAGTTTTTCATTATTACGTTCCTTTCTTCAGCCGAAACAAAGGTAGCTTTTAGGAGGCAGCTTTTCTGCGTACTTTCAGAATCCAGTTTTTGCCCTATTATATTATATATTTTAATACAGATATTGGTACAAGGAGGCACCAAATACATATCCGCCACACGAATCTCAATCGATTTGTGTGAGGGCTGTGATACTGCACGGGTGCCCAAACCGAAGCAGGTGGTTTTCTTAGGAGGCCACACCCCGAGCCTTCGATCTGAAGATCTGATCCACAAGGCAGTGGAGCATCGTGAGGAAATGCAGCCCCAAGGTAGCTGGTGACCAACGATTGGTTCATACGCCATTTGTTCCTTCAGGATACTGGAGTCCATGTGCACCATTGGTTTGAGATCCGGTTAAAGCGCCTCTCCTTTTCGTAAACAACACCCCCGCCACGAGAAGGCAGTGAGTAGGACTTCCCTGGCAGAGGCTATATACGCGTGGCCATGTGAGAGCATTTCGAGAGGGAGAGCGGACTGTCCCCACTCTCGGCCGTACTAGGGCGTTTGGGGGCGCCCTGTTATATGAAGCTTACAGATGCTAACTTTTACTACTGTTTCTGGAAGAAGTTTGCTTAATAAGGGCTTAGTGTGACTAAGTCTTGTTCGAATCTAGTTTTTGGTTTTCTTAACTTATGAAAAATGACTGACGTGCCAACGAGGTTCATCTTAGCACGCTGTGAAGTTTTGTTTCTTGAAATCATCTCCCTGCAGTCCTATTTGGCGTCAAACTAAGCCAATTAATTACTTTATTATGTCTCTTGATCACATCATCTACACCGCTCAGGCTTTGCTCCCCCATAGTCTGTTTTGCGTTGATATATGAATCCGGAACTGAAACTGTAGATTCACATACCTTAGTGCTGTCTATAATTTTTTTCTTAGCGTGCTTTTTCTTTTTCCTTGTAATCATGCCTACATCTGTGTGCCCATTTTCCTTTTCTCTAATGGGTTCCACCTTGATGATCTCATTCAGATCCACAGCTGGACTCATGACAATGCTCTCTGTTTCCTCGAAAACTAAAATCCGCTCCTCTAATGCTGCCTGTTTATCTGAGGGCATTTTTCTAGCTATGTTCAGAAGCTCAATCGCTTCAAAAATCAGTAGACTTTTTAGATCGGTATGCTCTATATAGTTAATATATTAGTGGCTTACAGAACCTTTTATACGCGGCCGGAGTGAGTCCGGTGCGCACACTATGACACCACTTATTGTAGTTGTTATACTGCATTCCATGATCGACCGTGAAATAGTATGCAGATCTGTCACAACGTTCTACTTGTGCCATAAAATTTTTTAGTGATCTCACAAAGAGAACAACAACAGGAACTGATCTCTAAAATAAGTGTCTTTTAAGACTATGGGTGATAGGCACTGAACACAGAAAACAGAGGTTTGTGTTATTGTAACTGACAACAATAAAAAAGCATCCGATTTAAATAGACACAAAAAATCTTAACACTTTTGGATACAAACAATACTGCTTAACAAGGGAAAAAATATTACTGCCCTTTTGTATCTGTACTCGAAAAGTATAGATGATAAATTACTTTATAAAAAAACACAATACTCTTGACGATTACTTTATCTGAAATAAATTTAATTAAGGCGAAAAATATAATTTAATATAAAATATAGTCAGCGAGAAAAAATACCACTGTCCTTTTTAAATAATGCTCGTATATTTGGTTGATTAGATTCAACGGATTTTATGTAGTGAAAACTTCTCTAAATATAGCTAGAAGTAGACCATCGATTCTTCCTGTCTTCCACTTCAGGCGCAGTTATAACAACGATTTTATTGAATATTGCGTATGTCATTGATCCATTCATAATGTCTGTTAAATAACAGGGACTCACAAATTTGACCCAAATATTTTAAGCACTTTGGCTCTCCGTAACCTTGAGACTGACTTGAGGTCTGTTAGGACTTCAGTTGTTATTTGTCATCTAAATAGCGCTAATCACTGACTCACTATTTTACATTTTATTTTGCGGATTGTCTACGTCAGTATGGTAAGCTTTTTGTTTTGCATTAGCGAATTCCCGTTTATTTAGTAGGTAAAGCATCTGGCTTACAACCCAGTTCCACTTTGATTTGAGGACCTGAGAGATATCGTCAGCCTCCACAGTGTTTGGATTACAGCACAGAATTTGACATATACTTAATAATGTCACAATGTTATATCAATCTTCCAAGTCTCCTCACTTACGTTTGGAAGTAAAAATGAGCTCAAAAAGTGTCCACTTTTTGGTCAATAAAATTAGTTATTATCTATCACTGAACCGTCACAAAAATTAAATGTATATTAACTCTTAATTCACTCCCTAATTGGTTTAATTTCTAAAACCTAACTTGTTGTACCAAGTGTTCGTTTTTAAATCTTATTTTCTCTAGTGCATTCAAAATTCAGGCATCTTTCACATAAATGGATTACTCAAGTGATCCACTGACAGATTGTCAGTCTCAAATGTTATCGTTCTGGGATCTTATACGTGTTGAAATAGATGGCCTAAAATGTGACCATGCCGCTTTCAAAACCCAGGACTTACCACTGGCTCGTATCAAAAAGATTATGAAGTTGGATGATGATATCAAATGTATGGTAAGTCTTGATTTTGTGTTAAACTAAATTGTTTCAGAATAATTTTAAATCAGTTTTCTGGTGGGATTTAAGGAATATCAAACGAGTGTTCAAAAAAACCCACAAAGTACAAGCTTGGGTGAACAGATGTTATTCGGACTGAAAACGAGAAAATAAAGAAATGTTTCGTAGCCTTATATATAAGCTCTCAGTTGACGATTAATGTCCATAAGTATGGCATGTACTCTACAGCTTCTAAACCTAATTTAATTCTCTATGACTGGCAGGAGCCTGTACCCTTACTCACTTTTGGTAGTGAGCAGTTACAAGGTAGTCAAGAAGTTCGTGTATCTAAGTGGCTTTGGGTGTACTAGTGGTGAGGTGAGTGATAAGATTAACTCGCCCATAGTAAAGGTGAGAGCTGCTTAGGCCATCTTTGACGCCTTCGTAGTGTTAGTCTGGCTGTTCAAGATCCAGTTTACAACTCTTCAGTGGGGGCAGTTTTGCTCTATGTTTGCGAAATCTGCCCTCTATGAGCTTAGAAAGTTAGATAGCTCTGTGTTCGACCATTGTTATCTTTAACACATCTACAGAAACCTAACTTTATTGATCTACTGATTTTAATTAGAGGAAAACTTTTCAGTCTCTTACAAATTAAATATTTGTACATTGATTGTCTACATTATTACCGTCCACATAAATTTCCATATTATTGAATAGTTCCCGTCTATATAAGTCAACTTTTCTGTTTGCAAGTAATCTACCTCTACTCTAAATAAATTTAAATTCATCTTGACAATTGACAGTCATCTCGCATGACAAAACTTCATTTGTAAAATGCGAACTTATAAACTTTCTTCTATAGTGGTTTTTGTATCACTGCTATCGTAAGATTAAATATTTAAAAATCCATAAAACTATAAATACTTTTCTAAATGAAGTGCTCCAGTTAATTAAATATGTGATATTTTTCTATCTTAGTCGGAGATTTTTTTATGTTAATTCTACTCATAACAGGTCATCTCCATTTGTAAATATCATGTTCAACCTACATAAATTTACTGCAAAATAAGATAAAGTTTTTTTTAACGACCTAGCACTTGGTAAATTATTTCAATATAATTTTAGAAATATTCATTTTTTGAGTATTAAGAGTTTTCTGAATATCCTTGTACATTTTACTTATAAGATGATAAGCGCCGAAGCACCCATATTGTTCGCAAAAGCCGCTGAGCTTTTTATACGAGAACTAACGTTGAGGGCATGGATTCATACAGAACGTAATCGTCGGCGTACTCTTCAAAGAAATGATATAGCAATGGCAGTCAGTGATGGAGACACAGATCAATTTGATTTTCTTATTGATATTGTACCACGTGAAGAAGCAAGAGGACATCGTCGGGTAAGTTTTTGCTTGTTATTGTATAAGCAGTTATTACGTATTACGACTTAAGAAATTCACAATATTTCAGAGTTATAGAATTCATCGTTTTGTTTCCTAATAATGTTTTCAAGTATTCTGAACATTAATTCTCATAACATTTAACTATAAAATATCATCTCGATTCTTGTATATTTGTCTAATGACCGAGTTTAGAAAAATGTTGATTATTCCAACCATTTTTTATATACACTCACATTATGCTAACGATTGTAAGTAAATTAAAACCACAAAGCGTCTGGTTGTAGTTAATTGAACCAGTAAACTTACATAGCATATTTCTTTGAGGAAACATTCAGATCTTTATGCAAAATATAAAGGGTGCTTTTTTATCCCTGTTTAAAAATTAATGTACTACTACGACAAGCATTCTGTGTTTTTAATCATCAGTGTTTATAACACAAATGTTTACCCACTTCAAACCATTTAAACTCTACACAGGGAGTTGAAGTATCTTCATTCAGAAGAATTGTGATGCCTCGTGGTGAAAGCCGAGATTCTTCCGAAGTCACGAGGTTGATGTCCCTTCTAGCAACTAACAACAAATGTTTACCCAGTTCATACAAAATTCATTATTTCAGTCATTGTGAAATAACAACTATAAATAAATCATTAACAGATAGTACAGTCATATTATATTCATATTATTAGTCTGTCTTTTCCTATACATGGGTTCATTATATTTCTAAAAAAATATTTCTATCTATCACTACTTTTAAACTGTCATATAAACCCTGATGATACACTATTTTTATTGATTAAAGCCAACGCAAACAACCTCAGGTTCAAATGCTAATGGGAATTCAACGAATATCAAGTCAGAAAATCCTTCACATAGAAATAATTTTCTCACAAATACAAATGATACTCACACATTATCTCTGGGACAAAACTCTGGTCAAATGGTTGTTTCCGGTTTGTCCAATGATGTTACAGGATCTTCAACCCAACCACAAACAGTAACTGTTGCTCTGGCATCTGCGGCCCTTGCCGGAGCAACATCTGTTAATTCAGCCATTCCATGTCAAACATTAGTTCAACAAAATCAACCTACAGCTGTTCATTTTACGACGATCTCTTCTGGGAGTGGTCTAGCCATCGCCCAGTCTTCAGCTAATTCTGGGTCAACTGTAATAGCAGCTTCAGCACCCAATGCCACCACAGCCGCTACCACCGCAGCTCCTTTGCAATATGTTCTTCAGCTTCCGGTTGGCACAGCTGGAACATCAGCTGGTCAGCCATTTCAAATACAAGTCCTTCCCCAACATTTCCAGGCAAGTGGATCGAGTTTTATAGGTCCGATAACTATTTCCAAGCCAATTAAATAGCAATGCGATACTGAATGCAAATTTTTTTGCCTATAAAATTTTAAAACTGGGGTTTGGAAATCAGCCTTTTTATATTGTCTCCAAAATTGTGCATCATTCGACATCGAAATAGCAGTCACATTATGCAAATAGTTTAAATTTTGTTTTATGTAGATATCATGTTAAACATGCTAAAAAATGTTCTTTTGCAGTATACCACGTTCACGTATTAATGGTTTCACTATTCCTAATAATTGGTATTCTAAGCTTCATTGAAAGACCAATACCAATTTTACTAAATTTTTTCAAGTCACATTATAAATAGGAAACTGGTTATTTGCTTTGAAATAAATAGTGAGGTTATTTAACTGAATGCTCTTAACTCTTTATTATTATGAAAGCGATTGTCTTTTAATAGATGTTCACATAGAAATTTTTATTGAATGTGATTGGTGTGTAAAGCAATACTTGTATGACTTCAACACCCACTCTATCGAAATATTTCATAATGATTCAGTTAATAGATATGCGATACGAATTGGTTGATTGCTCACAAAACCTAACTGTTTTACAGAATAGGGAGTGTGACTAGTAGTAGATTCCAGGACGTGTATTTCGTTCTAATTATGACTCCCCAGCTGAATGCACCTGTAAAGCATTGACAACGGAATAATCGAAACCATTACAAGTTAAACTAAAATTCATTCCCGTTGTACAAGCGAATGGCTATCTGAACTCAATAGCTAAGTTGGCAACGCGTTGGTTTTCGAGGTGAAAGGCATTATGTTCAAATTTCGTACTGATCGTCAATTCTGGGATACAGGTACATTCAGCTAACAAAACCCAAATAGAACGAAATGAACTTTCTGTATCCCACTGCTATTCACATTTAATATATTCGATAAGTACTCGTGACACAATAGTTATACCAAGACAGTCGGCAGGGGATTTGCACATATGCCAGCTGAGATTTAAATTCAGTCAAAACACAGACATCGGAATAATCCAAAATATTACAAGTCAAATTAAAACTTAACCTTTGATTCTTTTTCTGATAAATATCACAGACCCAAGTCAAAAATATCGATAAATTTAATAAGATAATAATCAAACATTAAAGTATTGTTTGAGATAACGAAATCCCCTTCAAAAACTAATATCACATGTAGAAGAACATGTAGGCGTTGCTACGAACGCATTTCTCATACAAATAAATAAATAAATAATATATTTTATTTGTAATATCCCAATGAGTACAAAAATTAGATTTTCTGACGTTTTATGACTTAGTGAAAGCCACTTCTTCAGAGAATAAATAACCAAATTCCATTTCTCATACAGTTTATGAAGTAACAAACCACTAATCTAAATGCCCACTCTTAAGATAATTCTCTCGACAAAAACAATCAGATAACCAAAACTGACACACGTCCGTCTTACATAAATATTAAATCCGCAGTGTTTAGTAGCAAATAGTCATAAGTTGTGTAAAAGGCATGGTGTCGGACTTTTAACTCGTGATTATGCGATGCAGTTATTGTGGTATCGTCTGTGTAACAGATAATTATACACAAGATTTCATTTATACTGAACACCGAACACTTAGATATGATTGAATGGGAAGTGACGGCGACAAAACGTGAGATGAAGTGTGTCATCATGCAGTAGTGGACTTTTTTGTTTAGTCAAAAAATAATTGTATTCAGAGATTTCTAATTTAACTAACCGAAGTGTTCACCATAGAATGAAATTTAGAGTTTATTCTGAAGGTTGGTTTTGGATGTGTTATATTAATGCACAGTTGAGATTATAAAAGTAATCAAGGAAATGCTGATCGTTTGGTGAGTTCCAACGTTACGATGTGCCCAACAGCAACTGCTTACGAATTGAATTGGTGACGTAAGCTCCAAAACAAACTGAGATCAAAAATAAAACATTTCTAGGTATCATAAGCAATTAGAGGATATGAATTTTTCGTATTGCTTACTCTTCAATAATAGCAATGCTTAATTGCAAGGTTTTATTTATTTATTATTTATTTGAACACATAAATATTGGTACAGGGGGGCACCAAATATATATGCGCTACACAAAACAATGAGAATTTAAAGAGAAGGGGAAAAAAGGTAAGGAACGTAGGAAATTACAAAAAAAGCTCAATAATGGGGGAAACGAAAAGGAAATCTTTCAGTTAAGGGAGAAGCAACCACTTTTTATGAAGAAAGTAAAAGAAGGTTACTGCAGGATCGCCACTGGCTTCTAATCTAAGCCATATCTGATAACGTTTCTAGCCACTGTGTTACACCATCTCTCGGACCCCAACCAGGGAGTCGTGAAGGACCAACACAAGCCAACCCTTTTCAGCTTTCTTTCATACCACGACACCATGTCATACACCGACCACCTCTCCACTTTTTCCAACCGGTCCCAGAGTCGGCAAATACTGCACGACGAGGAATTCTCTGGGACGACATTCGTAGAACATGTCCAAGCCACCCAAGTCGGTGTTTCAAGGTGATGACACTAATGGAATTATCGTCTCTGTGCCTGAACACACGATGCCGAACCTCTGCATTACTAACATGGTGTTATCACTGGATGTCAGCAATCCTGCGGAGACAGCGATGGCCGAACACAGAGAGTAGTCTAACGTCCTCAACTCGGAGAGGCCAGGTTTCACAAGCATAGAGCAAAACTGCTCTCACCGACGCGTTGTAGATCCGATTTTTTACAGTCAGACTAACATCGTGAAGGCGCCAAATGTGACTCAGATTGGCATAAGCCGCTCTGGCTTTCACCAAACGTGCATTGATCTCATCACTCACGCCATCACCAGCACTTATGCAGCTACCTGAATACACGAACTTCTCGACCACTTCTATCTGCTCACCATCCAGGGTGAGTACAGGATTAGAATGCTGCCAGTCTTGTAGAAGTACTTTGCACTTCGAAGGTGCAAAGCACATACCATACCTACGGACACTGATTGCTAACTGATTAAGTGCGGATTGCATAGCTTGGGCATTCTCGCACAGTAAGACAATATCATCCGCATACTCAAAGTCGAGAAGTCTTTCTCCAGGCAACAGATCCACACCACCATTACTTACATCCATCAGAGCTGTTTCCAAAATGTCATCAATGGCAAAGTTGAAGAGGAATGGTGAGATTGGACAACCCTGCTAACCCCACTGCTCGAATGGAATAATGGAGAAAGGTGGTTGTATGCCCTCACTCTGCCTGAGGTGTTTGTGTATAACGCTTTTAGGATGTTAATAAACTTCTCAGGCACACCCTTCTTCAATAGCCAATCCCAGAGAACAGTCATCCTCGCAGATTGTTTCGCCCACACCAGACTTCTTGCTGCCAGTGGCTCGGATGAGTTGGAAGAGCTTCCGGTAATTACCAGATGCAGCTGCTGCTTCCAGCTCGTTAGCACGCTCCGACCACCAGGCTTCTCGGTCCTTACGTAAGTTTTGCCCGATTTCATTACGTAGCATCCTTCGTTTGTAGTCAAACTCACGGTCACGCGGAGTAGATCGACGCGCTTCGATGATTTGTAAGGAGCCTGAAGAAACCCAGTGCTTATAAGCTTGGCGGCAGGTGGCATATCGGCGATGACTATACCGAAAGTCAGTGCTCGCCAGAAACAGGTTGTGGTCTGTGCACAGTTGTAGTAGACGGTCCCTGTTGTCTGTCCTGCCACCAACGAGTCCCCATCGGCCACCTAAACGACTCTCTTCTGTGCCTAGACGCCCGACCTGAGCATTCAAGTCTCCAGCTAGTACTAAAATATCTGTCGAACGTACTTTCTGGAGAAGAACAGATAACTGGTGGTAAAATTCATTTTTGATTACATCTGGGTTGCAATCTGTCGGAGATGACGAGAAGACATCGTTTCTCACGCCGATTTCTTCTCACTTTGATGGTACTTTCTAATTTAACAGCACATAACCGACTGTTAATGGGGATCCAATCGATTAGTGCTGCCTCAGCTCTAGCGCTTAGTGCGACACCAACGCCAGCAAGACCAGACGAAGATGCCACAGGGTCCCCGGATAAACGCACATTAAACAAGCTTTTTGAAGTGACAGATGGAGAGCGAATTTGTAGTACTTCACCAGAGTCTTGAATACGGGTCTCGGATAGACAACATACGTCAATATTAAGACTTTCCAAAGGCATAGCCAGTCCTATCTGTTGTCCGACCTGCATAAGTGTGCGAACGTTGAAGGCGGCCAGTTTGGATGGTGCACGTGGTTTCAGAAAAACTGCTTCAGTACTCATATTCGGTGGTAACATACAATTTTCAACCAGGCAGTGACTCGAGAACGTTTAGATAGAGCCGAATTTCCACCATAGGCGAGCTGCTGTATAAGTCGAAAAATAAGGATAGACAGTGGGAATAAAAGAGAGTGAATAAATGACGTGGTAAATAATAATGATAATAATAATAATAATGTGAATTGTTTAACAGTAAATCGCGGCGTGAATAGAGTTTTCAGTGAATATAATCATTTTCATTATCATTATATTTGTGTGTGGGCTGAGATACTTCCCGGGTGCCGAGACCGAAGCAGGTGGATTTCTTAGGAGGCCACACCCCGAGCCTTCAACCTAAAGGTCTAAACCACAAGGCAGTGGAGCATCGTGAGGAGATGCAGTCCCACGGATGCCGGTGACCAAGAAATTGGTTCATACACCATTTGTTCCCGCAGGATACTGGAGTCCATGTGCACCATTGATTTGAGATCCGGTTATAGCGCCGGACGTTCGCTTTTCGTCCTCTCATTTTCGTAAACAGCACTGCCGCCACGTGAAGCTAGTGAGTAGGACTTCCCTGGCAGAGGCTGTATACGCGTGGCCGTGTAAGAATATTTCGAGAGGGAGGGCGAACCCACCCCACTCTCGGCCATACCAGGGCATTTGGGGGCTCAAGGTTTTATTCTTGTTTATCATACTAGAGTTAATAATATACTTGGACTGGTCTTCATTGTAGACTGATTCGGTTTGTTAAAAAAGAATGACCGCAAAAATTGACCTGGAAAACTTAAAATACCATAACTTGGTACTCAATTGTTGTTTGATAACAGTGTATTTCAATGCCTAAATAAGAATGGGCAAATTGTAGATCATTGTTTTTACTATTTTTAAAGCTGTACAGCGTGGTTACTAAGATTGGAAAAGTGATAAATTTCGAACTAAATCATAAATCTCATTTTATCATACCATCTTGTGCGATTAAAACACTGATTGGATACCGTTAAATGTATTTATGAAGTTCTGGAACAGAGAAACAAGTCAGTTTCTAGTGCCTTTAAATTTTATTCATTGGTAGTTTGGACATATATTACACACGAAGCCATTAATGTGCAATAATATTTAGTTTATAGTTATATCAACGGTTTTTGATTAGCTTTCAAGCTATTTATTGTGTTATCGTTTACATTGTTTATATACGCTACAAACAATTCCAGTTGTAATAAACACTTTTACAATGTTATTGTCCAAATATTGAACCAATATTTACAACAGGCTGCTAACACTGACGCTGTATCTGCCGGTCAAGCTGGTGCTATCCTTGCCGATGGAAATACACTTCCGTTAGTTCAAGTTGTTTCTCAACCCGGTGGCATAGCAGTTCCAATCATTCAAGAGGCTGGTGGCAGTCGAACTCAAATTTTACAGCTCCAGGTAGACTGATTTTCTCTGTGTATATCACACTCACATGTCCCAGTATTACAGTGTTCTATGAAATTTTTCTTAAATGTCCAAGTTATCAAATGTAAAATCTTCATATTACCATCATCTAGCAGCCATCATACTTCTATGTTGTATTTTAAAGATATCTAAGTATTCTCTTGTTACATATTCAGTAGTTTTCTGTATTCTATGTATATATTGTATAAAGCAGTTAGTAGTAACCCACCTAACTGACAAGCCATCAGATAATTTCTAATTCAAAATTATATCAGTAGAAATGTTCTAATATTAATATTGTTATGTACTCAATCGGTGATAGTCAATTGTTGATCAAGTCTAATGTATCTCTTAGTAAATAGCCTAACATGTGCTCATATCAACAGAGCTTAATTAATGTCACAATCTATCTATAATGAGTATAAATATCCTATCATGTACTTTTTTTAATACCATACCAAGCTTAAGAAAACATTAGTTATTACTTTCATGATGATCTGAAACACTAAAACCTTCATTAGTAAACCAAATTTTTATACAGTGTATTATAAATTCGAAAATAATAAGTTAACTTTTCTTCGGTGCAGTCCGTGTAACCAGATCGGCTGGTTATGGGATCAATTGACATATCTTATCCTTTTATCTTTTGCACGACCAATAAACAAGCGATTCAGACATTAATACCTGTTGCTCTACAAGCTTCTTATGAGGTAGTATTGACTCCAAAGTATAAGACACCAAACAGAATATTTCTCTGTGTTTTTGGCTGAAAACTCAGGCTTATATATACTAATTAGAAGACTAAAAATACGAAGCTACAATGTAATACAAAACCGAATTGATGGAGGAATAATTTATTAATGATTATTTTGGGATTATAAATCTTATACCGCCAATTAATACATCAAATGAAAACACATAAATAGGATGATATGGACATACACTAATTCAAGTATTTGACATTTATACAGTAAAATTATAAGTGATAATTCTCTGGCAGTTGAACCTTTCCTAAATTCAATCCGATTTTTAAACGTTAGTAGAACATTGAATTGCACCTAACGTTTATTTATCTTAAATACTGGCAACAGTACATATTCATCAAGTCAGTGTAATAAAATACCCTAATTCCGTTCTGATAATAATTTTAATAAAATTATGTACATTCTTTTTTTTCCGTTCTACTTAGATGCCAGAATCAACTGCTGGTGTAAGTATCGCAAGTGGCTGTTAATCTGTCCGTATGAATCTCTAATACACATCTCTTCTCTTTCTCTGTATGTGTTTGCTTGTATGCCTGATACATTAGTCATACAAAAAATGTTGTATACCGCCCCCTCTCCATATCTCATGTTTGTGTTCATTTCATTCTTACTCGTGTGAACATTTAATCATTCAGTTGTTGTTTCTTGACTAATTCATAAAGATTCTAATATGTTGCATGTTTATTTCCTTTTTAAAATCTTCCTTTTCTCTGTATCTCCCTACTTTCCTCTTTATCTAACTACAATCCCATGCATGTTCGGTATAAACATTATTATTATCTTTTTTATATTACTAAACTGTATCGTTTTATTAAAGTCATTGATTTTTATGATACTATCATTATTATTATCGTTGTTGTTCCTCTGTTAATTTCTTTCTGTGTCTCTTTCATATTTTATAAATGAAATTTCGTCTCGATATCAAACAATTTCCATGCATATTGTACAAAATATCAACTTGACTAGATGTTCTCCTTACTGCATATATATATATATATATATATATATATATATATGGGTCTGTTTGTTTCGGAGCATTGACACGTATATTTCCCACCTCTGATAAAAACTCAATTCTAAACATTTCATTAAATGCATGTCTGGAAAAACATAGGAGATTCGGTTCAACTGGTTTATTTGTTGTACAGTAACAAGAAATCTATTGTTACCTTAACAATTTGCACATTAAATGTACACGGTAATATATATATATATAATCTTAAAGTGTAAAAGCATTGTTTTCTCGACGCTTTTCTTTTATATCTATTTACACTATATCACATTGTGCATCGTTGTTTTGTAAGCGTCCTTCTCGTGTATTCATTGTGCGTAACACATTGGTTAAACTTAGATGCTTTTTCTCTTTTTTACTCTTGTTTACTAATCCTAGCAACGACCGACCTTGTTTCTACAGCAAGCCGGTGCTCTGCTAGGGACTCACATGGGTGCAGTAATTGCCAGTGTAGATGGTCATTCTCAACAAATTATGTACAGTTTACAAGCACAACCCCTGGTTTCTTCAAACTCTTCATCAAGAGCCCAAGTTCTTCTTTCATTGGATGAGGCATCTGAATGTATCTCATCTATTGCAGATTCAAACTGTATAACATCTAATAACAGTATTCATGCTGGTACTGCTCAGTTATTAGACGAAGCAGCTAGTGAGTTAGATATTGCATCATCTGTTGCTGTGCCACATTCAGTAAGTACTGAAATACTTGGACCTAAAGATTACACTCCTCATTCTACGGAGCTTGATCACAAGCCAGTTATAAACTCCGGTAGTGTCATGATTACTGATGACCTTGTAGGTCTAACAGAAGGTCAAGCGGTCGAGATTCACACCGTAGAGTCAAATAACAGAGAGTGCTTGGAGTCTGGAGTTGACAGTAGTAATCCGCACCCAACCGTTATTACAGATGATGATGAAACCGTTTGAAACCAATACTTTATCATATTCTTAATGTTGTCCAGTTTTTATTCTTTTCTTCAAGATACATGTATGTATATATGTATACCACTACAGAACAAATTTCGTCCTGTTAACATAACTCGCCTATAACATGTTTCTTCAATGTTTTATTTGCTCACAGCTATGCTATGTATTAAAAATGTGTGTTAATAAAGTGAAGACCGCTATATTCTTCGAATCGTGTGAATAACTATGCCGAACACTAAATATTATAATACTTCTATATATACCTTTCAGTCTAATTGTTTATATGAGATTTTAATGTTTGCATATTTAAAAAGGTTTACTCCAAAATATCTTGTTTGGTTTTATTTTCGTTTATTACATTTATCATTTGCTTCTTGCGAACTAATTCAACAACCTGTTAAACTAGTCGTATTAAGTTTCACATTCAGCGAACCGCCAATTGTCATAAGTAGTTTTACAGCAGGTTAATTTTATTTAACAACGATGTCCCAAAAACACCGTCCTATTCACTAACCGAATTGATAGGAAATCCAATGGTTCCTAGTAGAACTCCTGCATCTACCAAAAAGTAGTTCTGGCTAACCGGTTTGTACTTCGCTTATCTAGACAGTTTATTGGTAAAAACCGCAATAAATATGGTTAACTGCTGTTCCACGATATGAGCCAATGTTGGGCTTCAGACCTTATGTCTGTCAAAGAGAAACATGTAATGTAAGGTTTGGGTGATCCCGTATCAACCCACGATACTGTACTTTACATAACAGCACCAAAGAAATAGTATCATAACCAGAAACTAAGATAACGCTAGCTGAGTACATTTGAAAACTATTGGGAAGCATAAATACGTCCAATGCGTGATTTTATAACTGATATACATGTACAAGAATGATGCCACTTCATATAAGATTAGTACATTTAGTTATTTCAGCAGTTTAATAATCTATTCCTGGTGTTTGTTATTTCCCGGGCTAATAGCAAAGCTTTACCGACCTCACTGTTTAGCTATAAGGAAGCTTAATTTTAGTCATACTATGTATCCGTAGAACAATCGGAACCTAAGATATAATCTATTCCTAATGACTAGTATTCCACACCTTTTTGATCTATAAGTTACATGTTTAGCCAGATCGAGTTTTCAAAAGCAAAACAGCCTTATTCACATCGTTTTAAGAATGATCATTGCAAGTATTGTTGTATAAACTTAGTTTCCTATGGTGTATTGAATAGAAAGCTGTTTCCCAGGGCCCTCGATATGCAATAACATTGGAATAAAGCAAGTCATATAACGTAGTTAATAGGTTCAGGACACTCATACATCAACTTACCTTTTTGTGGTTTAATGTGTATAAACATCTTATTACCAAGCAATGGTCGGAAATAAATGGAGAATCATTCGCTCTTTCTTATCCTTATGTCTAACTAACTGGTTCGATTCTGTACGATGTGGAATCAGAAATATCTGCAACCCTTGATATTATTAAACAAGAACTGTAGTACGACACAACTTTCCTTATCAGTCACAAACGACGTAGAACCTGGACAATATATCTATTGTTTCAAGTTGCCACAACACGGAGATGAAGTTTCCAAGACAAATCCCAGAGTAGTAGGAAGTGCACGAAAAATAAAAAAGCATAAGATTTCGAGACTCGAATGTAAGGGCAGATAATGAGTGGATGTATCTACTCCATTGGGAGTGAAATAAGATCCACGTCATCCAACGTTCTCAACTACATAACGATATCAGCGCGGACCCCAAACCAGAGAACATGCATATACCTATGCGGCGCAATGATTGATTTTGCGGACTGATGCAATGCCTTGGTAGCTTGTAGTCCTATTGTTCATACAGCTGCTCTACCATACCCTCGTCTTCATCAACAAACACGTTTGTTTGTAAACCACTGATAAAGACACATACGACTCCCAGAACAGTATGGTGGCGCACACTGTATATGCTCAATTATCTCACCCAAACTACTTCCTGATACATCTTAGAACCAAGCACAGTTAATGATCAACCTTGGCAATGAGGCCTAATAGCTATCCAACCTTACTCCTTGAAGATTTGTCTGGTTGTACCACTTATCTGACTATCAAAATCTTTTATGGCTCGATGTTCCTTGTGATCAACAGTTATTTTTTACCGATGTTATGCAGCTTAGTAACTTCAGCGGTATGAATGTTTCCTAATAAGATTGATCACCAGCCTCGGAAATCTAAGTACTACCAGAGCAAGTGTACCAAGCCACAAATACAAGAAGCAATGATTTTTAAGTTCACCGACACAATTTGATCAAGTGCAGTTTGTGCTGCATGCTTCACAATTTTTGAGCGCTTATGATATTACTTAACTGCCCAAACCGTGATAAGTGGAGCAGGACACAAATGGGACCCATTGGTTGTAAATCACCCAGAACTCCATTTTGTGACATAGACACTGAGGAAAACGAGATTAAAAATAGAGAAAACATTTACGCCATTGAGTTTTCTCAACCGTTTACAACAGATAATTCCCACAGGTATGATTGACATTCTATCGTTATACTTTTATGGGCCAAAATTATGCCTTTTCAGGTCGTATACTGCATTTATTGCATATCTAACATGTGACCACATCCCCATTCAATATTAAGGGTATCCGCCTAACATGTCTGTACTTTATGTTCAGTGATCAGTTTGAAGAGAAAGTTATAACACGCATTGTTAACTGGCTATTTTAGTTCCTAATATTATTATAAGATTGAAGATATATTTTTAAGCAACAATGAATGTCGTGCCGTATATCCTGAGTCTTGCTGTCATTATGTTTAACAGATTAGATTAATATTCCTGATGCTGAGAACATATGTAAAGCTTTCTACGAAAACTGTCTCACCCAGTTTTTAAATAAACGTGACCTTGAATAGTTATGAATAAAGTTAAACTGTTATGAAGTATTACACACCATTTAAGTTACGTACTGCCCCGACTGATGACCCATCCTAGATGATAATATCAACAAAAAACGTCAACCTCAGGAGTCGGCAGCCAACTAGGACGAAGGTTCCTTTTCTGTCCCAAAATAAACCTCACAATAAGCAGTAAATCTGACAAAGCATGCAGGACTCATTCCCGCCATCATCGATTTCTGTTACGGATTTTAGAACAAAGTAAATATTATTTTTATCGTTTTTTTCCCACGGATTTTAAGTCAATTACATTAGGCTCTTTAGAGCATGAAAGTTAACGAGATTTACGGTGCAATATGTAGTTGTTCTGGCCAAAGACCATTAATTACATGAATAATCCCTCAAGATATTCAACACTGACAACTCTTGTTTGTTTGTGCACAGATGGAATTCGTGAGGTTAAACGATGTCTAACTTGTCTACTAATGTTCGAAGGGTGTCACCAAATAAACTTTTTAACCGAAATACGAGTAACCTAAATCATAACCATGGTACACCATAGTACAAGTAAAAAATCGACTTTATAGGGACATCCTTTCAGACAGCAATGAAGTCCTATACCACAAGAAATATTACTTGTGATTCAATCACCATATGAACAAATTATCTGGTGAGAACAGAGTTTAACTTACTGTTACTAAGTCACATCCAACTCTCCAGAGTTGGTGGCAAATAGTTCATACGTACGTCTGCATCTAGGTGGGCGCTATGGTTTTGTTTGTAATAGTAACCTGTTACCAAGCCCTTAAACACATGTGAATTTGTAACGTATTTACTTATTGTGACAACTGTAATCTTAGAAATTGAAGTTGATTATGCGAGTGACTGAATACTGAGTCTAATTCGAAAGCCCACTTATGATTAGTTAAGACAATGAGTTACATTTACATGATGATACACCACACAAACCATCCGATGTCTAGCTTGATATCAGAGGGTACTAAAATTTTTAAAAGACAGCAAAAATGCAGCTACTTATCTTATTTACAACTGTTCTAAATTATCCGAACACAGAGAGCAAATATTCAGACTACGGAGAAAAGTATTAATCAAATTTCAGTAATTTCACGAGTAGGTAGACATTATGGAAAAGTAAAAATAGTCGTGTTCTTTATAGCTCCAGAAAACCTAAGGTGTAGCCGTACTTTAAAATTCTCCGGTATTCTATGGCGGACATGATTTTAGAGCCTAGTAGACGGGATGTGGAAATGTAAACTTCTTTTTCCGAAATTTTCGGTATATATTACTGTATGATTATAAAACATCTCTAAGCTAGTTCTTTACGTCGGAAAAAAATCTTATGGGCCTTATGCCTTCACATTTCAAAAACCAGACCACACTTCCAATAAACGTAGTATTATCAAGATAGTGATCATACTAAGTCACTACCTTGAGTAGAAACATGAATGACACAGCCAACTAAATTGCTCCAATATGTGGTAATCATCCATTTGGACTTGACCAAGCCTATATGTGATCAGTTTTTAAATACCAACGAACTATTCTTTTTTTCATCCTACTTTTACCGCCCATAAGATAATAACTAATCTGAATTGGATTCGCACTTCAGAATAATGAGCGAGCAGGTATAGCAAGAAAATAAGATGACACTAGCTTTTTATTTATAAATAATGTTTAAAACTAAACGGTGCTAATTTACAAACTAATGTTTCTCATGATGATAAAGATGATGATAATGAGAGGCAAGCTCTTTACCAGGTATGTCATAGGGGTCGAAGTAGTTAACAAACTTCCTGGCTTTCTTCATTTCGTGTCCTTTATATAAGACATAAATAGTGGGTGGGACGCAAACAAAGAGGCCGACGATGTAAAACTTTAAATATGGCCTGTTTTTATAAACATCAACATATGGAAACTGGCGAATCTTAGCAGTAAATGTCCATGGGTAAACCATTTGACGAGAACTACTTCTCATATAATTTTCAATTTTCTGCATCAAGGATTCCATAGAGGCTTTATAGTAATTCATTGTGCTGAAGTAACTTTAAAAACGAACAGTTAATATATCCAAAGTCCGGATATTTGTACTCCGCGCCAGTGTTTTTACTCCACAACTGATTGAAAAATGTTTACCGATAAATTTTTTAAACTTAGATAGACAGATTGACACCTTGCCAAAACTGCTTAAGTAATATATATCGTCATCATGCATGGAGGGGCGATGTAACGTTCAGCATTCAGTTTAAAGTTACTTGTCCTAGGCGATGTGTGTGCATAAATTTATATGAGAGAATCTAGAAGAAAAGTGGAAAAATAAGAAGCAAACCGTCTATATGTATTGCTGAAAAAAACCAGCAATAATTAGCAATGACACAAATGTGAAGTTTAGACAATCCAATAATCGAAACAAG